CCTCCCTCCCTCCCTCGCGTCTCACCTCGAACTCGCGGATGTTGTTGGAGGTGACGAAGATGCCGATGCCGATGGGGATAAAGATGAGGCCTATGACGAAGAAAGCCGGCAGGACGCTGCCGGCGGTGAGGATGGGTTGCCAGGCCGGCAGGCGCTGCTGCTTGAAGGCCGTGTTGTCCGGCTTGCGGCTCTTGGTGACGGCTCCGCCGGACGCCCCGCCGGTGGCTCCGAGGCCGCTGCTTCCCGGCTGCCCGTCCGCTTTGGCGTTGTAGTTCATCGCCATGGGGGCCTTCGATGCCTGGAAACGGCCCCGGAAAAGACGGGAGGCGGAGAAGAGGCAGAAGCAGCGGCTGCGAGACAACGACCGGTCTCTGCTTCTCGGTCCGCAAGAGTGACACAACCACGCCTGCGCAAACGCTCCGATATAAATACAAAGGAAGCGGAGCGCTTTTTCAGGCCTTTCCCCCCCACCCGCCCACCGGCACTTCCCCGGGTGTGCGCATGCGCCAGGCGATAACTTGACCTTGGGTGAGGACCGGTTTCGTGACGTCGATAGATTCCGGCTCCTCCTCAATCGATTCAGAGAGCCAATGGGAGGAATGCCTCAGGTAGAAGTTCTTTTAAAAAAAGGAAAAAAAAAGACGCATGCGCAGCCAAGAGGTTGGGGCAAAAAAAAAAGAATGGCGTAGGTTTGTCATGCTTGACGTAACTGTTGCAGAACGTTGGGGGCGCTGTGGGTGCCTGTGCGTGGTTGGATCAGAAGCAGCATTTGTTATTAGTATATAAAAGTATTACGCATAGAAAAACGTGAAACTACAGCTGCCGGTTCTTTAGCTGGTGTTGGCTTTCATATGCATCCAGTAGTTCTTCCCGAGAACCTAGGATGTTGTAATTTATCGGAGTAGTATATATGCAGATTCAAGCATTGAGGACTTTTGCAACGGGCAGTTGGAAATTTTGTCAATGCACAGATTTTCTTAGTGCCACCCAAGATTTTTTTGGTGTGCCATCCAGTGGGCCAATAACTACTGGGACCACCACAGTTGGTTTATGCCATAATCATTCAGTTTCAATTCTCAGATCTCAATACTTTTGTGATCTTTTCCAATTCTTTGTGTTCTATTTTTCTCTCCCCTGGTATTGTCACATCAATTATCCACACTTTTTTCTCTTCAGCCACAGTTGCATTCTGGTGTGTCATGACCCAAGTCTCTATTGGAAATACCACAATATTTTCTGTAATTATATGATTAAGGCCAATGTAATTGTGGAAAACTCATTTGATACTGTATTCAAAAGCAGATATATTCAATGTATTCAGATAGTGTGGTGAAAGGCCAAGTAGATTCCTACTGAGTGCTTTTCTGTAGTTCTGTGGAATTTGTACAGAAGTGCTTTGCTATTGCTTTCTTTTGATGCAGTTAAGTAAATATTAGGGGAAAAGGAATTTGCTTCTGAGGACTGGGTACAGAAAAAGACAATTATGCCAGCAGTTACATTTAAGCCTACCAGTTTGCATGGTGTTTCTGGCAATTTCTGCTGAACATTTTTTTAAAAAGGTCTTGATAATAAAAATAGGCACTTCAGGAATAAGATGATATGGCTTATTCCAAAACTGCAGTTCTTAGAAGTATTAAAATACAATCCCCATAATCCATAACAGGGCAGCTATTGTGAGTTCTGAATTATGTGAGATAGAATTAACTGGATTGCTATATGAAAGAAGTCTGATATAACAGTAGGCACTGAACCAAAAAAGTAGACAATAGAGTACTGTAGATCACCTGCCAAGAACACCTACAAGCATTGATGGCATTCAGGAAAAAGACAGAAGCCATGCCCTTGTCTTTCCCCTCTGGTGCACACCAGGAACCAGTCACTCGGTTCTGCCCTAATTTCTGCAACTTCTGTATTTAATGTTTCAGCAGTTTTGCTGCTGCTACAATTAATTCATCAAAGATAAAATAGGCTCTTCTTTTCAGCTTGTGAGAATCTTTGAAAAAAAATATTGGGGCACTCGCAAAGAATAGTTCCACTCACAAAATGAACCTCAGAAATTCTATCCCAGAGTGTGCGGGGGAAGGTTGGGGATTTTTTGTATTGGTGGCTTGGAGGACTACATGAGAACTTAATTCCATGTACACACTTAAGTGTTTCTTTTAATCCTCTTAAAACTATGGGAACCTCTTTACAGTATGGACCTTGGCACTTCTACAGTGCAGCCTTCAAAGAGCCGCATAAACAGTTTTTTTCCCGAACACCATCACTCTACTAAACAAATAATTCCCTCAACACTCTCAAACTATTTTCTAAATCTGCATTACTATTAATCTTCTCATCATTCCCACCACCCATCTCCTTCCACTTATGACTGTATGACTGTAACTTTGTTGCTTGTATCCTTATGATTTATATTGATATTGTTTCCTGATTGCTTATTTGTACCTTATGACTATCATTAAGTGTTGTACCTTATGATTCTTGGTGAATGTATCTTTTCTTTTATGTACACTGAGAGCTTATGCACCGAGACAAATTCCTTGTGTGTCCAATGACACTTGGCCAATAAAGAATTCTATTCTATTCTATTCTTCTAAATTCCTTGTGGTCCCTCAACCCAACAGAAAGTGTGCACCTCTGAAATAAATAACAGTTTGCTATTAAATATTTGTGGGAAGTATGGGTATTAAAAAGCTGGAGTTTAGCATAGGGTAAAAAGGCACAAGTGAATGTGATTTGCAGGCTTTAGAGATAATTACTGAAATTGTAAAGCTAAATCTGATTGACACTATAGTTTTTTTTTAATTTTCAAAGTTTTCCTGTTAGCATACCTTTACAAACAGAAATCCCTGTCTAAATAAAATCTCTGACATCTACTAAAGCCTTCACACAATCTAAAAGGAAAATTTCAAGTCAGATAAATTGGTTGTTACCCCATAAGGAAGTCGTAAGCTATGATTAACTCTTCTTTATTACTTCTGCTGACTGATCTTATCCAGGTTTATTGATAAATTCCCCTTGATTTCATTGGAATTTACAATCATCTGTATAGCTAGAGGGCCATGTTTCATCTTACCTTGCATAAATACTACCTTAGGTATGTACGTACTGAACGTCATTCAGACGTAGCAATATATTAACAGCAAAGTCTTCCTGATTACGTCCACACTTAGAAAACCCAGATTATGTAATACATGAGGAAATATTTTATCATCTATATAGTACTAATTCATGGTGTGTGCATGTTCCTTCTAGTAAGTGTTGATGCCTGGCAACTGCCTGAACAAGTCCCTGCAGTTTCCTTGGCAAGATTTTTATAAATAGCTTGTCCTTGTTTTCTTCCTACAGTTGACATATAGTGACTGGCCCAAGATAACCAAGCTGGCTTTGTCCCTAAGGCAGGACTAGAACTGTCCCCTTGTTTCTAGCCTGGTATCTTATCCATTATACCAAGCTGGCTCTCTATTTATTTATTTGATTTCTATAGCTGATTTCCATCTCAACAAGTGACTTTAATTCTTTAGTCTCATTCAAATGCCTGCTTTCAATTATTTTTTGCTCATCATGATTCCTTTTCCTTTTTTCAATATTTTATAAAATATAAATATTTCATCATCATGACTAAATTTCCATTTACTTAATATGCATCTGCTACAAGAATTATACAAAAATTTCCAATATACTTTGCCACTTTTGCTAACTCAGTATATTATTTCTGAATTCCAGCTAAAATATAATCTTCAGATATAATTAAGGGATCTGTTTTAATGTACGAATCCTTCACAAATATACCTTCATAAAAATCACATATTTGGTTCCTGGTAAAGTCAAACTGATAACAGTAGTAGAAACTAGTTTTGAAGCTCAGCAGATGCCCTGCCCTTTTGTAATTCTGAAATATGTTGTTCTGAATGATAACACAGCATTTGCATGTGTAGGGATTGGGGACCAAAAGATGAATCAGGCACATCCTTGCTATGTCGCCCTGTCACTTGTCTCAGAAATGGACCAAGAATTGAGGGATGCTCATAAATGATACAGGAGGAATTAGGAAGAAAAAACTTCCAAAATACCTGTGTGTGCATAAGCAATTTAGATTCCTACATAAATGGTTTGGAATAACAACCTCCACCATTCATCTTATTCTGGAGCTGAATTTCCTGGTACGTACTTAACAAGGCCAGTCTGCAGCAAATTGAAAACTACGACACAGTGACACAAAGGTAGAAGTAATTAACTTATAATTTGCTACCTAAACCTATACAAACCTAATACAAACCTAATACAGTTTATATTATGCTTGAGCAGAGGGCTAGACTAGAAGACCTCCAAGGTCCCTTCCACCTCACCTAGGATCTGGTTACTTACGGGACTGCCTACTACCATCAATAGCCTCCCACCGACCAGTACGCTCCCACAGAGAGGGGCTCCTCCAGGTGCCGTCGGCCAAACAATGTCGGCTGTCGGCCCCTAGGGGGAGAGCCTTCTCTGTGGGGGCACCGACGAACTGGAATGAGCTCCCCCCAGAGATACGGAGGATTCCGGATCTGCGCACCTTCCGCCGCGAGCTGAAGACTCTTTTATTTCATCAAGCTGGCCTTGCCTAAATCTTCTCCCTTTTAAGTGTAAATTTTAAATTTTTACTGTATTTTAAAATATGGGTATTTTAAATTATGGGTATCAATTCAGCCAAATTTATTTAATTCATTTTATTCGATTTTAAATTTTGTATTTGTATGTGTTTTATTTCATGGCTGTTCACCGCCCTGAGTCCGTCGGGAGTAGGGGGGTATAGAAATTCAATAAATAATAATAAATAAATAAATAAATAATTTATTCTATTCTATTCTATACCACATCTGAATAGATTGCAATTAATTTCTCTGTCCAATTAGTTAAAATGACCTTAATTAACATAGCATAATATTTTTTCAATATGAACTGTTAAAATAAAAATTTTTGACAATTGCTGTCTGTTAAATTCAAGGGCTACCATGATATTGTTGCACGCTTATGAAAATTTATTTGGCACAGTGCAATAAAAACAATATGGCACAAGAATATGTAACAGCACACATGTAAGCATTGTTTAATAAACATTGGCACACAATATTTTTAAAAAAGTTCTAAAAGCCAAATGCAATTCAAGGCTTTGGTTTGTTGGCAATTATTTTTATATTAAATCATAGCACAGTGCAAAGTTCTATAATACTGTTTTAAAGAGCAGTCTTCAGGGCAATTCAGTCAGAGTGTCACATTTTGGCTGGAAACATTTGTGACAAGTTTTCTTTAAAAGGTGCCTTTATTGAGGTCAAATCCCTATCACTACCTATAGAAAATATACAAACTGGCACCTTGCAATTTCAACAGTGTATTCTACAAAATTAATGTGCCATGGACACGGTAATCAGAAGGTCTGGCAAAACAAAATCCCGCATTACAAAGTGTATTATAAAAATAAATTATGTAGGAAACGCCAAACAAAACCAGACAAATATCAATTGGTTTGGACACTTTGCAAAGCATGTTTTTCTTTCTTACCATCTAATTAAAAAAAACAACAACAGCAAACACAGTTTCTTGAGAATTAAAATAAAAGGTGCACACACACACAAAGAAAAATCAAAATCCAACAGAAGCAGCAAATGTACTTCCACAAGTGATCAGTAGCATGGAGATCAGAATTATAGAGGTGGAACTTTCACAGTCATCAACCCAGAGGTGTGGAGAAGAAGTGCACAAGAATAACATGGAGTTGATGTGGCTTCTCATCTTGAGTTTATGCGCACCTGATGAATGACGATGCTCTCTAATGGGGAAAGAAGCATAGTAAGCAACAACTGTTACCATGGAAAACATGAAAGCTTATGAGGACCCATACCGCTTTTTTTCTCCATCCCAACATGTTACAGATATTTCAAAGTGGCATATATCAAGATTGCTAGAATAGAATCTGGAGCACTCCAGAAAGTATTTGTCCTTGTGTTCAGATATTAAAAAAGGGATTATCCATTCCACTTGTGCAAAATAGGGCATCTTCACAGAAGATAGTCAAGTCTTGTTCTCACCTATCATCTCAATGATCAATAGCAAAAACACTCAGATTTATATACCACTTTACAGTGCTTTACAGCCCCCTCTAAGCAGTTTACAGAGTTTACCTTCAGCCAGTTAAGATCGAACTCTTGGCAGTGGAACGCAGAGTTAGCCTGCAGTACTGCATTCCAACCACACTGCCACCATGGCTCATCAATAGAGTAAGGAGAATGTAAGGGAAAAATGAAGAACCACACATTGGTGTGTACATATTACTTGTGCTTAATACAATCAGTATTATGTGGACTTCACATTTATTCTTTGGGTCTTTATCCCATGCACACACAGGAAACTGAAAAGGGACATGATGATTAAGACCCTCTAAATATAGGCAGTGTGTGTAAGGTATTCAGTAATGTCCCAGATAATCACTACTCAAATAAATAGTTGAATACATAAATACATAAAGAATGAATGCTTTTGTTTTCAGCATTTTTTTGGGGGGGAGGGGGAATCTACGACCTAGCTTCTTTTCAAAGAATGAAACATTATCTACCTTTGTTGGCCTTGAAAGCAAATTATAATAAAATATTTAAGATAGCTCTGTGCTTTAATTTGGGGCAAAATGTAGCGCAGAAGAGAGCATGTTGGTTTATCTTTAGTTGAATACATCCTAAGCCTATGGAGCTTCAGAAGCATAAAATTACTTGGGGAGGGGATGGAGTGAAAGAGTACTGGATTAGGCGACGAATAGGTCAGTCCTACCGAATAACCTGCAATCAGATCACCCTCAGTTGTCCTAAGTGCAGTTTCACAGATGAGTAGCATATTCAAGGAGGAGGGTGGCAAAATGACAGAAAGCGAGGTCCATTTCCTTTTTTTACTTACAGTCATGCTGGAGTGATCAAGGATGGGCAGGGTATGGTAGGTCTCATTCAAAATTGACCCCCTAAGGAATACTGGGAACTTTGGTAATATTGCCTGAGCAAACTGCCTGAGAGGGGGGGAAAAAAACAATAAGAACAAAACAAAAAGACAGAATGAGTTGGCTATGATGACAAGTCGCACTTAAAATTCAGTCAATGGATTGTGGTCCAGCTCGGAAGATAAGTTTGGTGTTGTCTGAAAAGACAGCCAAGAGGACATCCAAGAAAAGAATGTTGCCCTTTCTCTCCTTCTGCAAACATTCCATTCCTCTCTAGAAATATGGAGTTAGGAGGTCTGTATAATCTATGGTGAAGGTAGCAGATTTAAAAAGTCTCTTTTTTGAGCATCTTCATATAATGTTGTCCCAGAAAAACTCCAGAAACAGGAGGAGGCGGCGGCTGGGCTCTAACCACTTTCTCAGTGAAATAACAGGATCGAGCTACTTCTAGAAATCTGACCAGGAAACTTATTTTTGTCCAGCTCTAATTTAAAACTTCAATTTTAGCAATAGGAAGGAAAATAATAGCATTAGCCGCTCTCAGGAAGCAGAAACTCTTTTTTCTTCATGAATACTATTTGATGAAGAAGTTAAAGAAAATATTTATGTACTTTAAAATATATGTTTTCATTCTGAGACTTGACCAATAGGTAAGAAAAAAGGATTCCTTTTCCTTAAGGCTTTCCAATTTCGGTTTATTTATCTTATTTTTCCTTAGGCAGCATATATGTGTGTATGATTTGCTTCAGACTGAGCTGTTAGGATCTAGTAAAATGACTGGATAAAATACATTAGACAAAATATGAATTGGTAGAGATTTTAAACTTGACAACAAAGATACTTATCATAGAATCCCCGGCTGTGAATGTTAGATCATCAGAAAGAAAAATGTATGCCTTGAAGTGGAGTGTTAGAAAAAGTAATTGAGAATTGCTTGGACCACAAGACTAACAAATTATTCAGTCCTACATGAAGTAAAACGAAGTTGATCATTGGAAGCATTAATAATGAAGCTGAAGCTTGGATATTTTGGACACATAATATAAAGACAAGAATCACTAGAGAAGACACCAAGGCTTGGAAAAATCAATGGCAATTGAAAAAGAAATAAATAAAAGACAAGATGGCTATAAGCAATCACCAAGTATGAGTTTATAGGAATTCAAAGAACCAGTTATTGACAGATAATCCTTGTGTCTGTGGATCATGAAGAATCAGAAGAATTTGAACGACAGCACAACAAGGAATTGAGAAAGTTATTATAGTTAATTTGGCCATGGATCACAGTGAAAATTCAGCATAGTTAACTGTGACTTTCTTTGAAAATTCTGGAAGCAGACAGAGTCTAATTCTTTATAAATGTCAACTGCAATTGACGTGAACTTTATCACTGTCATGATGATATATAAATTTATTGCAGAAGCATTTGCTTTTTTTAAGATGGGGGTTCCTTTTGTAATCTTGTTATCAAATTGAATACTTCTGTGCTAAATTTTCATATATTAAATGTTTCTTTATGAAAAGATTCTTACCCTTGCAAAGTAGTAAGTGTTGATGGATGAACCAATAGACATTATTATTATTATTTCAGATTTAATATCTTCAATTCGATTCACAGTTTGGGATTGGTAAAAGTTTAACAGTTCAAGTCCTAATCAAGAACCTAAGAGCTCCTAAGGTAACGTCTGCATAGGCAGTTCCGAGTAAGGTGGTATTATTATTATTGTTGTTGTTGTTACTATTTTGTGCTCTGTTGCAATTTAGGCATAGGTAAATCAAATTTTGGAATTTTTCAAATGTATAGTTTGCAGAAGTGCCTCTTATAGGAAAAAGCTGATTAAATTAACTCCTGGCCAAATCAAAGTGACATCAAGACATCCTGAGATCAAGTTTTAAAATATCTATTCTAAAACATTGCCACTAGATGGCACTACTCTAACCTAATTCAAAAAGCAACCAATTCCCATTATACTTACTTGGAAGCATGAGTCAAAGAAATTCATGAAGTTTACTGCCAGGTTTCAAAAAGTAAATGTTGTAATGTATACTCATATTTGTTCTTTATAATTAATATGATGGTGACATGGCTATTTGGCACCCCAATACCAACCATATAAAAACATACTGATTAAATTAAATCTTGGTAGCTCAAAGTTACATTTCTTTTCTCATCTTAAATAATGTTCTGCAGGGCCCATAGTTTACAGATTTCTCGTCTGCCACTTTTGTGTTTCAACAACTTTAAAGACCCTTCCCTACAAATGCATCACTGGAGTTGTATCACGTTTTGTCACTTCCAGAGGATTAACATAATTTAATCCAAACACACTTCTTGCATTGTTGGTTGATGCTTTCCAACCTAGAAGTTCTTAATCATAATGTATACAAAATTCCTACAGTGGAACCTTGCCCAAGTAGTAAGATAGTTTTAACATGAGGTCAACATTTATAATCACAAAATATTAGCTCAAGCTTTTATAAAAGTTCAGTGAAGACTAAAGGAATTACATTGATTTTTTTTTTCTGGGGTGGGGGGGAGATAACCTTCTGTGAAAATAAGCCCCAAAAGATGACCTCACTGCCAGCAAATGAGAGTTTTGATCATGCTCACAAATGTCAGCAGCTAATAGGCAATAAAAGCAGATAAAAGCTTTCTAAAGCCATGGTTACTATACTAGCTGGTGCCATAAGTCAGTTAAAACATTGGGAAGCAGATAGCGAATGTGACCCTACATTATTATCAAAATGACCTCAAACCCAAGTTAATTTTGAAAAGATATCTAAACTAGCCAACATTGCATTTAGTCCCTCATTAAACCATATCTTGAGACTCCTGTGTTATTTTAGTGCTACCGAGGCATTATATGAAGAGCAACACAAAAATGGTCTGGGGTCTCATAGCTACAGAACATTAAGAATTCACTGGATAATACCTGCCATCAATGGATGGTATACAAAACCTATATTTTTAGCAAGCTTTTGGTTTGCTTAAACTTATGGGCCAGTACATATAACTCTAAGTTCTTTCAGGGGAAAGATTACATGCTAGTTTTGTATTCATTGAAAAACTCTGGGATGGCAGGCACCACTTAACTCATTACTACCAGTCTGTCCACATTGGTAGATCTTATTCTAAATTAAATAATGCGTTTCTTTTCTTTTTTTTCAAAGCTAAAGCATAGCTATATTTTATTTAACAAGCAATATAAAACCAAACCAATTAGTAGTTACTGGTGAGTTGCAAAATCACCATAAAATAGCTTCAATCTTTTTTTCCAATGTTAAATATTCCACTTATCAACAAGGCCTCATCTGATATCCCACACTATTCCTTGCCTCCATTTAAATACAAATTCCCCCTTTGTTTCACATGGTTGTCAAGAATTTTTTTAAAAAAATCTATAAATTCAGCAGATGCAAGGAACAGAGCTGCTACCTCAAAAAATGTATTAAAAACATACCTTTCCTTGGCTCCTATAAATAAGTAGCTGCCATTGATTTCTATGGTCAAAGCATTGACTTGTAAATGTGAATTTAATTCATTCCCTCCCCTTCTCACCCAGCACTGGGTAGCCTGAGCCTAGTTTACCAAAGGTTTCATGAGATGTAATAAGTTTGATAAAAATGAATATATTAATTCATTACATCATATTCAATTTCTTTTTTAAGCCACATTCATTTTAGATTCTATCATTAGGGAATGTTGTACATGTCACAGTACAACCAACATATTTGATAATAAGGTTTACAGCTCTATAGTACTAAAGGAAGGAGGGAGGGAGAGGGAGAGGGATTTTAATTCTGCAAGCATTCTTATCCTCATATTTTCCCCACAATAACAGTAAAGATATATATGCTTAAGGAAGAACTAGAACTCAGTTTTCTGGTTTCTAACCCAGCACTTTGGCTACTGCACCAGACTGATTCAATATTATGTGAAGTGAAAGCCTCATTGACCAAAGCAATGATTGGCAATTGAAATCAATTATCAATGGACTCATCTTCCATGACACATGGAAGTTTGCAAATTAGAATATAAAAAGAATAAATTAACAAACGAAATGCAAGAAACAAAAATGGATATGTTGTGTATCTGTGAAACTAAGAGAAAGGGCTAATACATCTCAACGAAGATAGCTGGAGAAAAATGTAAGAATGCTTGTAGTGAAAGAAGAGGGTTGGTTGGAAACAATAATACCCATATACTTATGTATGCAAATGAGGCCATGCTGTTGATTAAGAACTCAAATGATTTTCAGGAAATGTTAGTTAGGTTATGATGAAAAAGATACTACGGCTCAAGGGTGAAATCCAGCAGGTTCTGACAGGTTCTGGAGAACCAGTAGCGGAAATTTTGAGTAGTTCGAAGAACCGGTAGCGGAAATTCTGAGTAGTTTGGAGAACTGGCAAATACCACCTCTGGCTGGCCCCAGAGTAGGGTGGGAATGGGGATTTTGCAATATCCTTATCCCAGGAGTGGGGAGGGAATGGGGATTTTGCAGTATCCTTCCCCTGGAGTGGGGTGGGAATGGAGATTTTGCAGTCTCCTTCCCCTGCCATGCCCACCAAGCCACGCCCACAGAACTGATAGTAAAAAAAATCAGATTTCACCGCTGCTATGGTTTCACTGATTAATTAATGAAATAACATAAATTACTTGTGCTTGATGGAAAAAAGTGGAGTGGATTATTGCAAGTAACACATGAATGGTATTCGCCTAGAGTAAATAAATGATTTTATGTCCCTTGGTGGAATGTTTCCAAAAAGGCAAATATTTTAAGATGTGTAAATACTGGCTGAAAAATAATAATTAATATGTGGAAGAATGTTTGTTGAAAGAAGCAAAATTCTTCTACCTAAGTTGTTATATGGAAGTGACGGTTGTGCAAGTAAGGATAAATTTTAAAAGGTAAGTTGAATGGGTAGGAGCTATTTAATAAGCACTTGGGGGTGCTGGATGAATGTGACTTTAACACAAAAGAGTGTGGGCAGTACAGAAGAATTAGGATGAGATGGTTTGGTCACCCACAGAAAATGAGAGACAGGGACTGAATTGCAAAACAAATATGTGAGGAAAAAGTGAATGGGTTAAGGGGAAAAGAGAAATTAAGAACATTGCGGTTGGAATTGATAAGATCCTCAGAAACAAGAGAGAAGTTTAAACAAGCAGTGAATTTAGTAGAAACAAAGTGAGGTACAGACAATGCTGTTGGTGTTAACTAAATGTAATTATATCTCTTTTTCATTTCCCCCCTCCTTTCTTGTGTCTTTGTTCCTTGTGCTTACTATTTCTCATTCCTTTTCTGCACGTTGAACAATGTTCCTTGCCCCAAAAGGAAATACTGTGATGTGCATGTACAGTATGTATCATTTTACGCTACTATTTCCAACTACAAGAAGTTGGGGGCTGGGAAGTAGGACAGGAAAAGAATTTGGCATTATTTAAGCATAAAAAATCAATAGAAACAATGTTTGTTGTTGTTGTTGTTGTTGTTATAAATCAGAGATCGTGAATTTAAGAAACTGCCACAAAAAATTCAGATGCTTTTGCTGATAAGGTTGCTTGTGAAATCTATTCAACATTTGTAGGCTGGAAGGGCACAACAGTTTCAGCAACCAGAAGAACAGCCTGCCTCCAAGCCCCTCAGAAATCAAATAATGCTCATAGAAGTGCAGAAGTTCAAATTAGGGTTGGTTGTCCAAAGAAAGCAATATTTCTGGAACAGAGTGGAACAGCACAGAACACAAATGCCAGCTCTGTGTAGAAACCCTTTACCAATGTAGTTAGGCAATGCAGGAATTTGAGGTTCAATGAATCAGACATCAGGCTGAGGGGACATCCAAGATATCAGACTCAACTGAAATATCAACATCTCATCTTACTTTTTAAAAAATTGCACTCTCATTGTGATCTACGATATTTTAGACCTCTGTGTAGTTCAGTCCATGAAGAACTGGTTAAATTTTTTTTGCTGCTTTTAATTAATGTATTATTCATCTGGAATTTGAAATATTTGAAAACATTTCAGTACATAAACCTTCTAATGAAGAAGAAAATGTAGCTATCTTCTTCCATAACTTCCTTCCAGTTTGTGAGAGACTTAATCGTTTATGGCACCATTTCAGTTATGATTCATTTGTTTATTCATATTTTACTTAGAACTACTGATGGATGGCTACTTTTGTTTTATAGATTGTTCTTTCAAACAACTTAATCTCTTCCCTTCAGATGTTCCCACCAGTCTTCTAATGAACAAATCCATTCATTCTGTTGTAGCCAATATAACCATTTCATTTTTAAATGGTTAGGGTTGCAGGAAGATTAATTTTTATTACATTTCTCTCTAGTCCAGAATCTTAAGAAATCTCTTGCTGAATTTTAACAGATTATCCAATTGGAAGAGAGGGGAAGAAAGGAAGGAATTTGGTATCAAAGTCTTTTCCACCAAAACTAGAAGTTTTTGTTCCATTAGCTTGCTTTTAAGAAAGCTTCCTTCATAACTGAAGTCAGCATATTTTTTTTTAGAGATCTCTATTTTTAAAACATGCTTTCAAAAACAAGACCAAAGCACTTCAAAAAATTCAATACAGACAGAAGAAACACAGTCAATAAAACACCGTCCAAGCCTTTCCCTGTTCTAGACACAGGCCGTGACTCTGATTTAGAATGGCTGGTATTTAACACGGTCTCTACTCCAGTTTGTTTCAGACTCTTGTCAAAAGTTAGAGATTACTGCCTGATTTGTCATTCATTGACCTGAGTAAGAATTTTAAATGATTTTAATGATCCCTCAATTCAGTCTTGCTTGAGAAGGAGGAAAACATTAAAGGCTGGCTCTTTATCAGGTTTTTAGGTCCTACTGAATCACTAACGGGGGTATTTCGCATTGCCAATTTTTATCTGAGAAACATCAGAACTGAAGGAACAAACAATATGCCTTTTCTAATGAGCTGCAATTAAACAGTCAACTCCTTTATGTTTCTGGCAAACCACTCATTTAGGTGTCCTGACAGTCTCAAATAGATTACATAACGCACAAAAAATATGTCGCTATAAGAAAACTATTTTATAATTAAGAGGGAGGTGTTTGAACATGTAGCTCCTTTGTAGAAGTGGCTGAACCAGGCTGATCTGTGAGTTTTTAACTCAACTGAGGGGGAAAGGAAGGGATTACTACATTCAGTAGGTAAGACACGCATGCATTAGTTGATGTGACAGCTTCAGCAGGTGTCATTAGTACATGCCAACACTAAAAAAACCACACAAACAGGGCTTATTTCCATGGTAGCAGTAAAACCTGCACAACATACCCCCTGAGACATTGCCCTCAGCCCTTCCCCCCACCAAGGGAGGAAGAGCTATTGGCTGAAGACTTCTTCAGTTCTATTTTCATAGACTGAGTCTCGGCACGAGGCTCGAATTTGGTCTGATTTCCTGATCCAGGGGCCGGCACAATTGGCTTCCCAGCTTTCATACCTTTAGATACAGGGATTCGGGTAGGTGTAGGTCTCTGGGATGACCCATCCTGTCCTGTCTGCAAGACAAAGAGGAGGAAAGCCACAATGTTAGATTTATGTGTGTAATTTGTGCATGCGTATTTGTACACACAACTTCCCTTTCAATCTAGGGCTGTGTCAAAATCAACTATCAGCTTCTGTGCCTATGGGAGAGTAGAACCTAGCATTCGTGCTCCTAGTTCAACATCTTAATCACTGTGCTATACTGGCTACACCCCCCCCACATCTTTCTATAGCTTCTTATCTAGAAAGAATTTGAGACATAATTTTCCATAATAAATAGAGACTCGATTTCATTGATATACTGTAGCTGGGGGCTCAGCCCAAGAGCAATATAACTTATTTCAACAAGCTGATCAAATCTAATACAAATTAGGCAAAGATTGGCAAGGTGGTCTCTGCCACTCCCACAAATGGCAATGTACCCCGCTACATTGAAATTAAAACTTTAAACATACCACACGTAATGGGATGCTGGGAAATGTGGGGAGATATTAATCCTTTGAGATAAGCCAGGTCAAGAAACAGAAACCACAAAAACTACTAGAATTCTATTTTTGTCTGGTACAATAACACAATCGTGAAAGACTGAAAAGGGTTTTCCTCTGCCTCCTCTTATACCAAAGAAAATCAAGACAAGATCATCTTGAGTTTCTTTCTCATCCTGTCTTCTTTTCCAGATTGATGTTTATTTAACTGTTCTTGCATTCTTTCTTCAAGGTGATCTCCATTCAAGGAGAGAAGTTAAACCAATACAAAAAAAACACAGCATCAGGATTTTAAAATATTATTGATTCCTGAACTAAAGCAGCATTTAGACTAAACTTTCCCAATCTGGTGCCCTTCTGATGTAATGGGATTATAATTCCCAGAATTCCCTCTAATAGGGCCAAAACAGGTAACTCATCTGGAAATTGTCAGAGAGTTACTTTAGTGACTTTTCTCAAAACTTTCGTATTCCTATTATGATCTAACACCTTTTGGAATATTCAAAATCCTGGGTGAAAAAAACTCAGATTTTTTTTCCCCAGCGGAGTTCATCTAAGCTGCAGACATATCTATTGTATACCATTTTATCTCATAAAGTTTAGCCTAAAAAAAGCTGATGAAATGTAGATCAGTTAATACTAGAGATCATAGTTTCCACCAAAGGTGCTAAAATTCCCAGGAAAGGCTGGAGAAAGAGAAAAAAAAAATAACTGGAGGAAGCAATGTCCTTAAAGCTGATTGCATCCATTCATTAGAAGTAGTGGTGGCACCATTACATCTACACAGCACATTCATTTTATCCAACAAAGAGTTTGTTGCAATTTGCAAACTTGTTAAGAAGGCAAATATAATCTTAACCTTATTTACATTGACAATATGGTTCACTGTAAAGTAACAATCATTAATTAGTCTTGTATTCTCCTAGTATCAATATCCCAACAACTGAGTATAGACATTGTTGAAAATGACCAGAGATGTAGCTCAAATCACCTAGTGAGAAAAATAACAGAATAACAGAGTTGGAAAGGACCTTGGAGGTCTTCTAGTCCAACCCCCTGCTTAAACAGGAGACCCTACAGATTTCAGACAAATGGGCATCCAATCTCTTCTTAAAAATCACCAATGATGGAGCACCCACAACTTCTGGAGGCAAGTGGTTCCACTGGTTGCTCTAAAGTGAATATGATTGTGAGAACTACAGATAAGTCTTTGTGAAGGAACTAATTGGTTGTTTTGGAACCTGAACATAAAATATTTGTTTGAACTTTGTAGCAACTTTTCATCTTCTACATTCCAGCCTAGAAAAGTAAATTTAGTAGAAAGAACAAAACTGCCTTTACAAACTTTCAAGCATCACGAAATACCCAGAACTCAGATTTGAAATATTTCAAATAACAACAATCATCACAATAACAATAATAATCTGCTATATTTCTGTTGCATAAAGTTAATTCCATATGGAAACAAGTTTGCCTAATACTTCATTAACCTGAACCTCATTTATCAGATATCTGAATGGTTATTCTCAGAGGCAAGATTTAAAAAAGAGAGAAAGAGAGAGAAAGCAGAAATTCAAAACTGGATTAGCCAGCCCTCCAATCAAAATACCAGACGAAAAAAAAGGAAGCTTTGCTGATGCTAATTAGTGCTCTAGAGCAAAGTATCCTAAAAAGCATGTGCAGAATCTTTCTGGCAGCTTAATCATTAATAGCTACAGTTCAGCAATTTCTCTGCCTGAGCACTCCGGCTGGCCAAGATCAAAGACTCCTGTTTCTGGTCTACTGGCAAGACACGCTGGGAGTATGCAATAGTGGTAAGAGGATAGGGTTGGGGAACTCGGGTTTGGGAATGTCAGCTATGTAGGTTCATTACTCTGAGCTTAGTCTACTTCAGAGCATTGTTGGGAGGCTAAAACACCATTCTTGGCTTCATTCCCTCCTAATGCCTAACCTTCCAGCATTCTAGGAGAAAGGGGGCATTGGGATGATACCAATATATGAAATTACCCTCCATATGGCAGGACAGGGCTGGCCGCCCTTCAGCCATGGGTTACCGGTAGCTCCTAGCCTACCCAGGAAAGAGGAGAATCCAGTCATTGCTACTAAACCAATCATTGTTACTGAGGAAGGGGTCCAACATCCCACTTCCAAATAATGGAATAATAATTCCATTAACCACTATTTGGGAATTAATTAGGGAGTATTTTTTGGATTTGGGAAGTTATGAATAAGGATAGAAAAGTAATGTCTTCAGGAGGCCTCCTATTTCTTTGATTAAAACATCCCAAAAAGTCACCAAAAAAAGGGGGACAAAATCAATTTCCAGACCGATGAGTTCTTAGCATTTGGAGACTTGGGATATATGGCTTAGAGGTGAGAATTTTGAATAATAAACCCAAACCATTACAAGAGGTGCTGGAAGAGGATTGTTTGCAGTCCATGGACCATAAATTGACTCCAACTCTACCACCACTTTTCCCTACACTGTGCAGATGTACAAATAGGCAAAAAGACTGGAGTGCTTACCACTGATTGTGTTCCTCGTGTGGATGATGTAGTAACTGGAGTAATAGTAATGGTGCTGGTCACTTTGCTTGCTCCAGATCTTGAGGATACATTATTTCTGGGGGACCGAAGGACAGTCCCTGTCAAATCCTCCTTTTCTGCCATTACATTCATAGGCCTGACAGTAATTATGGGGCTCATTCCTTCTTGAGCAGTGCTAGGGGAGCGTTTGAACTGAGTTCCTAAGTGGATGTGAATTTTATTGTCCTCCGTTGTTATAATGCTTGCATTTGGATTGTACTGTCGGACTGGAGTCGGGACAGTTTGTTTCTCTGGCGTTACTCTAAACACAGCTCTCCCCATGGTCATATCCTGTGACTCAGGGGATACAGTAATTTCTGTGGGTGCTGCAGAGGTAGATAAGGTCATGATCTGAATTGGGGACATAGGCCTTTCCATGAACGGAGACATCTCACTCTCTACAGTTTTCTCTCTGGAGAAAGTAGTTAGAGTCACTGGTGACATTGCTCTGTCTGGACCCATTGGGCTCTCACCACTTTTCCCTTTTTGGGCCATGACATTAGGAGAAGGAATTATGGTGATCCTTGGTTTCTGATTTCCTAGGGTAGGAATAACGGTGGTACTTGAGAAGAAATCTTCGGATGTTGGGCTAGTGATTTCCAAAGTGGCTGTACTGTTTTCATGATCTGGTGTCACCCGAATATGAAGAGGCTGCCCTTGTTTTGGAGAAAGAACAACTTCCCCAGGATGTTCAGGGCTGGTTTGAATCCTGGCTCCTTTGTCTTGAGTTGGCTGACAACCGTTGTCTCTTTTTTTCATCCAAGGAATCCAAGATTTTCTCATGGTAAGCTCATTTGCAGCTGGAGGGTACCTGTTAAGAACAGACGACCTGTCACTGGGCTTCTTGAACCCAACCTGCCGAAGGTTGTTCATGATGTGGTTCTCCTCCTGAAACGATTTCCTAATGAACACGGCAGGTGTTTCTTCTTCTGCCGCATCACCATTCATCAGATCAGTTTGTACCCCAGTAGATGTCACAGGTACATCAACCATCCTTCTGCCATTGGTGCTGGGTCTCAGGACACGACTGTAGCGTTTAGACAGCTCGACCTCTTTTGTCAAATTCAGCACCTCCTGTCCCATGGTTTGGTTCTTCCTTTCTTCTTCCAGAAACCTTTGCTGGAGGACTGAATAATCTACTTGGAGCTGGGAAAGCTGGTCTTCTTTGTTCATCAGCTCATGGATTTTTTCTTTCAGAGCCAGGACCTCTGCTGTCAAGTCCCTGCATTTAGTTTCTTCCACCCGGAACCTTTGCCTCAGCTCAGCCTCTTGACTCACTGCCTCTCCCTTCTCTATTGCTTTATTTTTAGCAATCTGAAGCTTCATTTCTTCTAGCTGTTGGGAAAGAAGATTAGCTTTGTCCTGCTCAGTCCTAAATTTTTGCTCCAGCTGATCATATTCATCCTCGGTTTTCATCAGATCTCCCTCAACCACCTCTAACTGCTTGAGACGATTTTTTAGCTTTTCTATTTCAACTGTTAGTTCTTTGATCTTGTTATCTTCTTGTCCAGAAAACCCTGGTCCTTTTCTAACTCGACCTCTGGCAATTTCTCTTTCAACCTCCTCTATACCATCCATTCTTTTCTTTAATAGATCCACTGTACAGCTCAGCTGCAGTGATTTCCCTTCTTCACTTTTTAACTTGTTAATTAACTCCTCCTTTTCCTTAGTCAGATTGGATACTTCTTCCTCCATTTCAGATTTCAGCTTCAAAAATTTTTTACTTTCTTCAATTAGCTTTTCCGTCACTTCCATCACTTTGCTTTGCTCCACCTTAAAGTTCCTATTCAGGCACTCCATTTTCCTCTCTTCCTGTTTTATTTTATCTGCCATGTTTTTTCTTTCATCCACTAGCATGACGGTAAAAGACTTCAGTTTCGTCATATCATCTTTTAGGATCAATTCTGTTTTTTCCAGTTTGGTTTCTGAAACCTCTAAGTCTTTTACCCGAATCTTCACGACTTCCAACTCATTGATCAGATCTTTAGTTAAATTCTTTTCCTTCTCCAAGTTCAAACGCAGCTGGGTACATTCCGATTTGCTTTTGGTGAAAGCTTCTTCCAGCTTCTCAAGATCAGACATCCTCTTCTGCAGTTTCTCGACTTCAAGCCTCACTTCCTTACTCTGGTGTTCCTCCTCTTGCAATTTCTTTTTCAACTCTTTGCACTGAGATTCTGTTTTGGTGATCTCCTCGTCTTTGCCTTCCATTTCAAGCACACGCTTGCGAAGGTTTTCCACCTCAGCCATTAAGCTGGAATTCCCACATTCCCCTTTGGCTATTTTGTCTCTCAACTCCTGAAGTTCCTCTTCAGTCTTTTGAAGGCCTTTATTGGTTTCTTCGAGTTCCTCAATTTTGTTGGTTAAGCCCACTAGCTTAAGCCTGAGCTGCTTATTGTGTGACTCTTGATTAGCAAATTTAGCAGTCATCTCCTCATGCTCTTGAGAATAGGAGGCCGTCTTGTACTCAAGTTCAGCTTCCAGCTTTATTAATTTCTGCCCATCTTCTTTTGCTTTGGAATTTAAGACCTTAAACTTGTCTTCTTCTTCTCTCAATTTCTGAGTGAGATTTTGTATTTTCTGGGTTTGCTGATCGAGTTGTTCAATGTGCAGCTGCCGTTCGTCCACCAGCATAAGTGCAAATGACTTGAGTTTAACAAGTTCTTCTCTTAGCTTATTAAGGCGCTTGGTGTGTTCTTTGTCCTTGCGAGCTTGATAGTTTTTTTCCTGTTCAAGCAGCTTCTTTAATCTGAGAGAAGAGACAGAGAAAGAATGTGTTCAATGTTGTAAGGCCTTTTTTTTAAAAAAACATTTCCTTACAAACTATTTAAACAATAAGCTAACCGGTTATTCAAGTAATTTAACAACCGGTTCTCTGCCCTAATGATTTCTTCCAACAACCAATTTTCCAAACTGTTCAGAAAGTTAACAACTGGTTCTTCCGAACTGGCTGAATCCCACCACTGAAGCTAACTTATATAATGTTTGCTGGTTTTGGCTTAGAATAAAATGAGAATCCAGCCATTGTGGCTGTTTAACTACAGTTTATACTTAGCGTGCTACATGAAGCCAATTAATTCTGCAGTGACCTATCTCAAGACCTGCCTTTTTGCGAAGGTTTTGCAGAAAACAGTAGGGATTCAATTCCTGGGGGTCCTAAAAGCAACAGAATTTCTGAGCCCCTTTTCTGGATTCAGGCCTAGACCTGGAACAGCAATGGCCTAGGTTGCTTTAGTGAAAAATCCTTCTTGGAACCTCAAGAGAAGGGATGTGCTTCTCCTGGCCCTATGGGACTCTTAGCCAGATTCCATACCATTGACTATAGCAGGCATCACAAAACTCTTCAGTTCATCAACCTCTTCATGAAGTTTCATACGTTCACTGACCCTCAAGCATTATATGAAAAAAATTTAAGAAATACTACTTTTATTAAAGGTACCATGAATAATCGGAAGATTTGCAAGAAATACCATTTGCCTGCAAGCAAGAACTGATGGGACCACAAAATAGATAAAATAATAGTAAATGGAGAAGCCAAAGTGCTCAGGAACTTTTGAATTCAAAGACAAAGACCTGCCATACCAACAATCAGGCTTAAGAATTGTTGATAAGAAAAACAAAATCTGGATAGTGGATGTTGCAGTACCCAGGGATACCAGAAGAGAAAGAACTGGAAAAAATCAAAATACAATGTCCTGCAAATAGAAGTAGAACAACTGTGGCAAAAGAAAGCAAAATACCAATAGCGATAGGCACTTTGGATGCAATCCCAAAACATCTGGAGTGCCACTTGAATACCATCAGCATTGACAAAATCACCATTAGTCAATTGCAAAAGGCAGCTTTATTTGGAACAGCTTACATGGGACAATGCCTTTAATACCATCCAACAACAACATCTGCCTATCCCAGGCCCTTGGCCAGACTCAGTAGGGGAACAAAAATGCCAAATCCAGATTTAACATCTGGCTGACAGTGCAACCAACCACAACACTAAACAGCAACAACAAGGAATAGTCTCATCAACCCTGAGGGTTGATACTGACCACTTTGGGGGAACCTTGGATCATGGTATACTGAACCCCGTTAGGATTGGGTTCATAAGGTACTGTTTTGCAGTGGTTCCAGTTGTACCAATGTGGACAGTTCCACATGGAGAGGAACCGCTGAAAATTCCACAGGGCTCAGTCCTCTTCCTTCACATTCTGAAATATTTACACGCAATACTGCAGGAGGTCATGTTTTGGCTTAGGATGAGGTAAGTGTTCTGCTAATGATTCTCAGAATTCTTCCTGATGACTGCACAAATGTGCATTCCTCCAATCCCTAAGTCATCAGAAAAATATCTTGGCATATAGTTTTTCTAGTATAAGCTCCTGGCTGTCCCTCATTTATACCTATTAGCTGGAGGTTTTTGGGACAGAGGTTTATCAATCTTTTAGATATCTGCAGATGGGTTGACTATTCTTCTTAGAATTTGGGCTAGAAGGGTAAAAGTAGCAGAAGCCTTGTCATTTTTCCCATCATTCCTAATCAATATCAGTTCCCCAATATTCCTAATCAATAAGTGATCCAAGGAACGCAATGACAGGAGTGTGTAGTCACAGTTTGGAACGCTCAGAGATATGCCATGAAGTATGAAAAGTGACATCAGATTAGGCAAAATGGCACTATCTACCTCTCTCCCAAACTAATACAACAGTACAAAGCATGGCCACGAAGAACCTCTTGTTGGTAGAAGCAGTAGAAAAAGCCGGTGTACTCATTTGGAACAGAACCAGAAATACAGTTTTTTCTGAGTTTAAAGAAACCATCCACCCACCCATCCATCCATGAGCTGTTGGTGCGCTGGTTAAAATGCAGTATTGCAGACAAACTCTGTCCACAGCCTAGAGTTCAATCCCGATGGTCTCAAGGTTGACTCAGCCTTCCATCCTTCCAAGGTCACTAAACTGAGAACCCAGATTGTTGATGGCAATATGCTGACATTACAAATTGCCCAGAGAGTGCTGTAAAGAGCCTCGGTGGTGCAGCGGACTAAAGTGCTGTTAAGTGCTAGCACTTAGCTGCCAGCTGCCTGCAATTAGTGCAAGTTCGAATCTCACGAGGCTCAAGGTTGACTCAGTCTTCCATCCTTTCGAGGTAGGTAAATTGAGGACCCCGATTGTGGGGGCAATAAGCCGACTTTGTATAGAACAACACCGTTTTGGGGGGGGGGGGACTGAAAACCCTAATAAGCAGGTATATACAAAAAAGTATGCAGGATATTGCTATAATGCATTGTAAACCACCCTGAGTCTACGGAGAAGGGTGGCATATAAATTGGACTAATAAATAAATAAGTAAATAAAGCATAATGGAGCAGTATATAAATCTAAGTACTATTGCTATTGCTACCATCCATCCATCCACTCATGAATATACATAAGAGACCTAACAGTTTTTTTGAAGAGCACTGAACATATGTTTAATATAAGGTCTAGTGATCTCCCAGAAGACTAGAATACCCATATACATAGCAATAGAATAGAACAGAATTCTTTATTGGCCAAGTGTGATTGGACACATAAGGAATTTGTCTTTGGTGCTGGCTATATAATTCTGATAAGTAGTTAAAAGCCAATAAAAAAACAAAAATAAAGATGGAACAGAAGATTGAACAGAGAAACTCTGATGATAATATCCAACAAGACTGACATAAAAATGAAACAAAAGAGAAACAAGATAAAGAAAAATCAATAAATTCTCACGATTTATAGTAACATTCGAAAAGAACTTGAATGTATTGTTCAGAAATACAGTGTGTGATACTTGAACAATTTGTTTATACCCTGCCTTTATATTTTTTTAATAAATAACTGAAGGTGGCAAATATATTTAATACTCCTTCCTCCTCCTATTTTCCCCAGAACAACAATCTTGTGAGGTAAACTGAGCTGAGAGAGACTGACTGATCCAGAATTGCTCAGCTGGCTTTCATGGCTAAAGTGAGACAAGGACTCACAGTTTCCTGCTTTCTCCCCTGGTGCTTTCTACTCCTAGACCAAACTGGCTCAATGTGGAATATTCAAATTGAATTCAAATGTAGACTTTTGATTGAAGAATACAGTCAAGAAGACAGACAAATGGCTGTCCAGTCTCTTAAATGCCTTCAGTGATGGAGAACCCACAACTTTGACTTTGGTTTTTAAAAAAGGCTCACTGGAAGCTTTTAAGAAGAGACTGGATAGCTACTTGTCCCGAAGGGTATAGGTTGTACAGGAGGTTCGACTAAAAGACCTCCAACTCTATTATTATGTTAGACTTTAAGAACGGTGAAATGCTTGCTTACAGACATTTGTAAGATAGAACCAAATCAAAGCCCTGTATTTTTTTAAAAAGACAGAGTACCATGTTTCCCCCAAAATAAGACCCTGTCTTATATTTTTTTGAACCCCGAAAAAAGCGCTTGGCCTTATTGTCAGGGAGGTCTTATTATTTTGGGGCACGTGGAGCAAGATGGGGCTCCTCTTGCCGTCTTACCTGATTTCCAGCTCTGTCTCCCTAATCCTAAACAGAGGAAATGGTGGGGACCGGCTGTGCATGTGTTTAAATATTTTTGGGGAGGGCTTATTTTCAGGGAAGGCTTATTTGGGGGGGAGCTTATTTTAGTACATGCGCTCAAAAGCCCGATTGGGTTTATTATCAGGGGATGTCTTATTTTCGGGGAAACAGTACTATAGAGCATATTTTTTATTTTTGCTCCTCCTAAGATGAAATCTCGTCTGTAAACTGTTGCTCAGTATAAATCATTGTATGCCTTTCAATATTAGTTGCTGAGGAACAGCAACGGAAAAAGACAATTGCCTTCAGGTTCTGGTGTGAACTTCTTAGAAGTATGAGGCCAGTTCTTAAAAGATACTGGATGACACCAAGCTTACATGTGAACCAACATGTTTTTTTAAAATGTTCTGAAGTTAGTCAGGTGCAAATGTGCTGGGCCAAATTCGAATGATTCTTATGAGCAAACGCCTGATAATAATCAGTATCTCTTCAAAGGATTTTCAGTAACCTGACTTTGCCTCATCCATTGTTTTCTCATCTACTTCCCTCAGCCTTTCAAGAACAGTTGTTTTTTCCTAATCCATCATCCACTCACAACACATGTCTGAAGCATGAGAGTTTCTATTTGAAGGGTGTGGTTATTTATACGGTCCAGGACTAACTGGTTCATCTTGCAGGTCCTGTCAACCTCGGCAGCTATTTGCACCTCCCTAAGTCAAAGGCATCTCTCTCTTTTTTTCCCCTCTCATTTCTTTTCAGGTCTTTCACAACCGTACATTACCACTAAAAAAGACTGCGGCTTGAACTATTTTGTTCATAGACAAAAACATGCAATAAAATTATATTTAAGCATGTCACTGCATTTTCATAGGATTAATCCTTTTCACTTCTCCGACATACTGTCCATCTTTAACATTCTCGAGTCCAAGGCAGACACTTTTTATCACCTTCCTTCATTTTTGTTCACCTTATTTTTATGTTTCTGCTTGACATTCCTTTTGTGGTGTTATTACAGGTAGTCCTCAACTTATAACCATTCGTTCAGCAACCAAAGTTACAACTGCACTGAAAAAAATGACTTATGGCTGCTCCTTGCACTTACAACACTAGCTACATCCCCATGGTCATGTGTTCAAAATTCAGGCCTTTGGCAATCAGCATGTATTTATGATGGTGGCAGAATCCTGGGGTCATGTGATCACCATT